AATCAAAGGATGGACATTTCTTTCTCTCTGACAAGCTGCCTTTCAAGAAAATACATTTTTCTTTAAAGCACTAGGTTGGGGTAAGCATTATGGTGCAATGGGTTAAGCTGCTACGTGGGAAAACCTGCATCCCGCACCAGAGTACCTGGGATTGAGTCCTGCCTTCACTTCCAATTTAGCTTTCGGCTGATGCACTTGGAGGCAGAGGATGATGGCCCAAGTACTTGGGTCCCTGCCACCATGTGGGAAACCTGGATGGAGTTCCTGACACCTAGCTTCAGCCCTAGCGCTGTGGCCATTTAGGGAGTAACTAGACAGAAGAGCTCTCTGACATTCTGCTCTTCAAAATCACCAAACACCTCTCTCTCTCTCTCTCTCTCTCTCTCTCCGTTTCTTTAAGACCTTGGTGAAGCACCAGGGATGCCACCTTGGGAAAGGCCTTGACATCTCTGAATCTTTGCTTTCTCATGTGTAACTGGGAACAATGCCCCTGTCTTAAGTGTCTGGGGACTGGGGCTGGGGGTTGGATGTGGAAGTGTTTTGTTACGTTACAGGAAGCTGGCCTAGAGGTGATGCAGGTGGCAGTCACACGTCCCCACCTCCCCAGTCACCCAACACCAAGCAGCTCAGGAGCAGCACCCGCAGCGGGGATTTCCCTACACCAGCGTGGGGGGAATTCCTGCGCCTAGAATAATCTGTCACAAACACACATCAGAGTAAATCTGCTGCTGCTCATTCTGACTTCCTCAGACTTGAGATGCCGCTCTGGCTTCCCATCTGATAAGCGGAAATGGCAAGCACAGGCAGGCAGCTGTGTTTACAGCTGCCCGCAAGCTTGCAGCCCTCACAAGCTGCTGCTCTGGGGGTTGAAACCATGGCTTCACCTCTGCTCCCCGAGAACAGCTCTCCAGCCACGGACAGGCACACAGAGGGCTCAAGCAACGTCAAATATGTTCCAAGACTTCCAGGGCCCCTGACCATTCCCCCTCAGGGGTTCCCACATTCAGTGACACAGAGTGTTTAGAAAAATAAAGATCCTATTCTAACCCTGGACCAACAAAACAGGTTGGGTGGTGGGAAGGATGTGGTTTGTTAAGAATCTATTTTTCTTTTAAAAAAAAAAAACACACACAACTATTTATTTATTTATTTATTTGAAAGGCAGAGAGTCAAAGGTGAGAGGGAGAGAGCTTCAATCTGCTGGCTCACTCTCCAAACAATGGCTGGGATTGGGCCAGGTTGAAACCAGGAATTCAATCTGGGTCCCCACTTGCATAGTAGGGACCCAAGTTTCTGGGCCATTTTCTGCTACCTTCCCAGGCACATTAGCAGGAAGCTGGATTGGATGTGGAGCATCAGGGACTTGAGCCAATAATCTGATAATGGCATTGCCAGCATCACAACCTGCTAATATTCTACAAACACTTTCAGAGTACTTCTTTCAAAAAATTTTATCATATTCATATTCTAACCATTATACTTAAGATAGCTGTTTATGCTCCAGTCTCCTTATATCTGTCACTACTACTCCAGCTATGACTTTTTCAAGGACAAATAACATACTTGGTACCCAGCATTGGCTGACTGAGTTGAAGCACAAAATATCTCATACTCTAGAATGTAAAACGTTACTGCCAGAAAAGCTACTACAGGAGAGTACCTCTTGCCCAAATGCTTGGGGACAGAAGCAGTTTAGATTTTTTTAATCTTTGAATATCTGCATACACAGGAGGTATCTTAGGACTGAGACTCAAGTCTGAGCATGGAATTCATTCATGTTTCATATACACCTTATATACATAATCTGAAGGTAGCCTCACAAAATACACTATTATTTATTTATTTTTTTGAGAGGCAAAGAGACAGACATAGACAGCTACCATCTGCTGGTTCACTCCCCAAATGCCTGCAACAGCCAGGGCTGAAGTAGGGAGATGGGAACACAAGCCAAGCCTTCCACACAGGTGCCAGGAACTCAACGACCTGAGTCATCATCGCTAATTCCCAGCATCTGCACTGGCAGAAAGACCGGAGTCAGGAGCTGGAGCTGGAACCCAAACACAGCCACTGTAGTGTGGAATGCAGGTGTCCTGTTTTTAATAATTTTGTGCTTGTATGAAAGTTCTTCGGTATGAAATTTTCCACTGGTAGTGTCACAATTAGTGCTCGAAGATTTGGATTTGGGAACACAGAGATTTTTCAGATTAGAGATGCTCAGTGTGAATTATACCTAACCTGGACTTTTAAATCATTTTCAATAAATAGTATTTTTGAATCTTTTAAGCACACTGACAATGATAACAACCAAAAACACCGTTACAATTGATATAGTACCCCCACAAACCAGCTTTTGCAATGCACAAGGGTCTCTAAGAAACACTTTTTCCACTGCACAGCTTTTCATGGCATTCAATAAGAGTTGTAACGACTTTGGCTGCCCAAAGATGCTAAGAGTGAGTTCTGTCAAGATGGAACTCAGTTTATACCAAATCCTTGAGAATAGATGCTTTTTCTACAAATGGTTCACTAAATATTTATTTTAATCAAGTAAAAGTGCCCATCAATAACTTTCCCTCCTCTCAATTTGAAGCCAAAGTGTGCCCTGGAGTTGTTTCCTACGTGCTCTGTGTCACTTAAAAGTCTGACAGTGTTCATATGTACAGTGGGTCTGCAGGGTCCTGTACGTGCCCACTTCTGGGAACATGAGGGCTCCAGAGTTCTCAGCCAGCATTTCTCCTCATTCCAGCTCTCAAAGCTCAGTCTCTGTTCAATCTCCAATTCAGACCTGGGACTTGGTCTTTAAGAATTTGGTTCATTCCTGGTGACTGTTCCCTCTTTACCAGTTACTGTTCCTCCTTGGGTTTCTGGCTGCACTGGGGCCTCCTCCTGTCCATCCTTGCTGAAGCCTGAGGTTCTGTCCTGATGCTTTCTCCTCTACCTTTCGCTGGTGTCTCACCACCCCGCCTGGCTCCAACAGCCGCCTCACTGGTTGGCTAACAAATGGGATCAGCAACCATCTACTTTCACTGCATCTGCTGAGAAAGGTGTTCTCAGTACTGAGTACTTCTGTTCTCAGTACTAACATAAATATACCTCATTCTAGCATCACAGGCATCCTCAATCATGACTATCCATTTATCCAGGAGGAAACCAGGCTCAAAGAGGGCTAAGTCTTTGCTTGCTGGAGAAGGGACTGCATTCAAACCCACGTGTGCCTGGCTCCAAAGCAATTCTTTCAAGAGCCTGTCTTGTTCTGGCCTCCCTGAGCTCACAAGACAGGAGCAGCCCAATGACCATAGCCCTCCCCTGCCCAGGTCCCTCAGGGCTCCCGCCATCAGCAAGCTCTATTCTTCATGTTCCACTGGCACACCACCTAAAGGTGATTAAATACTGTGCCCGTGGGCATTTCATTAGGTGAGTGCATGAGACCACCATTGTTGGAATCCGAGGAATCAGGAAACTTTCAGAAGAGGAAAATGAAAGATGGCTCCAGAAGGCCTTAGAAGGCAACCCTGGCATGGGAGCTTATTGTTTCCTCTTCATGACCAGACTAGTCCAGGGCAGCTGAGCCCACTGCGCTGGGATCATCCAGTTCCAGAAGGGAGCTTTGGAGGCAGAGGTGGTGGGGAGCGCTGTGAATTCATTTCTCAGAGGACAAAGCCTCAGGCAGAAGATTAAGGCACGCTTTAGCAACATGGAGAGAGCATTCCACTGAGAGTCGGAGACCACTCCTCCTCCGCCTCTGCATGTGTGTAGGATCACAGGCAGGAGCGGAGCAACGCTGGGGGAGAGCAGGAGGCCGACAGGCCTGCCTGGCCGGTCGTGCCTGCCTGCCCACCTGCCTGCCCACACACCGGACTCATGCTCTCTGTGGGAGTCAGGACACCATCACTCACAGCCCCAGGCAGGGGCTTCCTGTTCTCCCTACTCCCTCCAACCCAGCCTCGCTCAGTGAGTACCGGGCTGGACACTGACCTTCCTGGGCCCTGCCAATCAAGTGACCAACACGGCCACTGGGAAGGCAGGTCTCTGTTCTCAGGAGCGAAATCGCCGGGCGAGGCTTTTCTTTTGCTGAACTCCGGCTAGTGGAGTGAAGCCCAGCCAGGGCTTGTTTTGATGATCCCAGATATAGAAGCCGTAACCACATTCCTGTTTTCTTAGGGCCAGCAGAGAAGCCAATCAAAACAAGGCAGAAATCACAAACTACAAACTCTTGCTCTGACAAGGCCCAAGGCTGTCTTCAAGCTGTCATCTACAATGCTCATTCATTTCAGCATGAGGCGCTGGCGTCTATTTTAGGCAAAACCAGAGACAAGATCTGTTTTTAAAGCATTGTATTATATCCATGTACTGCAGCCAGGGAAAATTCTTCCTGTGAAGTATTTTTCCTCTTCCTTTTAAGAATACATGGATCACAATTTATAACTTCCTAGTATGAGAGGATAACATTCAGTTCACATTTAAATAGGAACTAGTCCAGATGATGACACTCACAACAAAACTTAAAAAGGAGAGTAGGCACAACACAGTAACCGAGTACTGGGCAAAGTCACTTTTGAAAATGGTAAATAGCAGGTTTTTTTTTTTTTTTAATCAATAGCCACTTATATATTCTAAATTAGCAAGGAACATTTTCTGTAACCCCAACAATAACTTCCTTGTAATAGAAGTAAAGACCCACTAAGAATACCAGAAGCAAAAGCCAGACTCATTCTTCACACAGGATAGCCCATGCGTCTCACTGTCTTCTATTTCATAGTAACTAATGTGCCAGAAACAGAACCACTGTCTTGGACGGACTATGTCCACCACTCACACTAGCTGGTACTGTTTCTTACAAGGAAGGAACTTTCCCATGTACATTCACACCTGACAAGTAGCAGGGAGGAAGGGGGAGAGGAAGGGAAAGAAACAGAAAGGGTGGGGGAGAGAGAGAGAAAAAGGTTGAGTTGAATCAGCAACACTGTCCCAAGAGAGTAATTCATTTTCTGCACACATACCCATGTGAAGGCTTTCCAGACTCCAAAATCGTGCTATTTCCCCTCTGGCTACCATGGTTCCTTGGAAAACAGCGACATTCACAGCAGCACCAGGGTGTGATTGAGGAAGTCTGTTCTCAAAGCATCGCTGAGGATCTCCCAGGCTTGCGGCTCGGGAACTGCAGAAATCGCTTATTCACTGCTTCACGCTGTGTGCATTCCTGGCCAGAGCCTGCCCAGAAACTGACAGCCGGCTCCCTGCTGGCTCAGTATGACTGACTGTTAGTCACTCCGGAGACAGCGCGGGATGTCGTCGGGCAGGAAATTCTAAACCAAAGCTAAGCCTGTGCACAGCAAACCCAAACAGACTCCCAAGCCTATCAGGGGCCGTGGAGAGCCCCCAAGGAAGGCGGTGGAAATGTGCTTGCTGCGTCGAACTAAGATCCCCAAGCCTGAGTTAGACTCTCAGAGAGCTGTTCAGAAGGTATTTATTTCATGGGAGAAAAGCACAGAGGTCACTTAGTTAAAAAAGGAAGTCAGGATTTCACTCTATGGTATGACAAAAATTTAAGTTATGACGCTACATTGTGTTATCTGTAAATTTATGAAATCACTTTAAAAGGAGGATTCTGTTTGTAAGATACACCTATGTGTTTACTCTACAGTGTCAAAGAAATATGTGTCATCTGTTACTATGTAAAGTGTAATGGGTCTTCAAAATTTCATGGAAAACTCGTATAATGAAAAAAACTTACATCGACTTAAACTTTTTGCACCAAAATAAACTTACATTTTAATTTATTTTTCCATGAGCTTTAAAAAAAAAAAATATTTATTTGAGAGTGAGAGTTACAGAGAGAGAAAGAGAGACACAGAGAGAGAGAGATCTTCCATCTGCTGTTCTCTCCCCATATGGTTACAATGGCCAGGGCTCGGCCAGGCCTAAGGCAGGAGCCAGGGAAACTTCTTCCAAGTCTTCCACATCCGTGGCGGGGGCCCAAGCACTTCGGCCACTCTCTGCTGGCCATTAGCAGGCAGCTGGATCAGAAGCGGAGCAGCTGGGACAAAGCTGGCATGGATGGCAGCTTTACCTGCTGCACCACAAAGCTGGCCTTTCTGTGAACTTTTAAAAATCCTTTCACAGATAGATCCCCTATAATGAGGAAAGTTTTTATTTAAAGAGACTCTCTTTGATAATATTATGGGCTATTCTTATTTCCCTTCATTCTTCTCTGTTTCCCAATTAATCTATAATGATCAAAGCTGTCTGTTAATCATGAAACAACTGTTAACAGTATGCTTCCTTCAAATTCTTCATGACAGGAAGACACTGCCTTTTTAAATGAATGAAAAATGACACAGTACATGCAAAATAGTGACCACCACTGTTAAATAATGGGGGTTAGACAAGCGCCAAGCTGTAAAATGCAAGCTTAACAGTGATGGACTTTGCAGTCAGACAGCCTGTGTTCAAAATCTGCTCTACCATAATTAACTTCTCTCCAATAACTAACTGCTATCAGGATTTACTACTCTACCACAGCAAAACTAGGAAACATTTCCACTGGGCAGCTCAATTGCCTCATTTGCTGAGCCGGCACTGATGAACCTTGTCAGGTTATTAGAAGATATATCACAAAGTGTTTCCAGCGGCACCAGCACTTCTTCAGGGATTTGTGTTAGTGCTGCTATGGTTGCTCTGCAAAGCCTTAGGTCCGTAACACGTTAGTTCCTGCTAAAATCACAACTCCAACTTAGAGGGCAGAGCTGCGTGGTTGGTTCTAATATTCACGCTGCACTGTGGACTTTTCGTACCTTCAAGTATTAGTGCTTCTATTGACTTGGTACCTCCTTCCCTTAAATGCAGCTAAGAAAAATTTTCTGGAGGAATTTACCACTTTAATAACCCGCAATAAAAGTGAAACACACATAAAACCAGATGAGCTTTAGATCTTCCCTAGTATTATGAAAAAATGATTTACAAGCTTTCTGAAGTCCACATGGACCACTGAATAATCTAGTTTCACACAGAATTTCCCAGAGCTCTTTTAGGTATCACCATCCCAAAGAAAGTGCCCCACAACTTTGCTACTTAAAAGTGGGGTCCACGGATCAGTAGCACTGGCGTGACCCGGGAGTGAGTTAAACATGAATATTCAGGATTGGGAGTGAGGGTTAGCAGCAGGAGTTAAGATGCCACTTGGGATGCCCACATCCCATATCGCAGAGTACATGGCTCCAAGTCCCAGTCCACTCCCAATTCCAGCTTGCTATTAGTGTGCACCCTGGAAGGCAGAAGGTGATGGCTTAGGTACGGGAGTCCCTGCCACTCACGTAGGAGACCGCACTGAGTTCCTGGCTCCTGGCTTTGGTCTCGCCTCGCCTCGGTTTTGTTGTAGGCATTTGGGGATTGAATCATTACATGCGGGATTTCTGTCTGTCTCTGTCCCTCTGTGTTTTTCAAATGAATAAAAATTAAAAGGAAATGAAGATTCTCAGACCTTAGGTCTACAGAATCAGAAATCTGCATTTTAAGGAGATCCCAAGTCATTCCATCGTTCTAGGCACCTCAAGAAACTAAACAACACACTTCGAGAAACTGCAGCAAGACTATCTCAAATGCCAGCGTGCTTTTGTTCACCAAGTCAGAAACTAACAGACCACAGAAGGAACAGGTAGGCCTGGTTTCAGTCAGAATGAAGAGATAAAATGCTGAATACTGTCAGACAAAGTAGTAAGGAAGAGTGAATTCATTCTAAAGAGTATCCGTTCTAACAAAGCCTAAAGCCCCGTGGTAGGAGAATAAAACTCAAGTATTTCCATTTTCTTAATGTTTTGGTGTTGTTAAAATTGCTAGTTTTCAAGAAGCAAAAGCTCTCACTGCTATGATTCCTCAGTCCTGTGTTCCAAGTCTCTTTGTTTGCTTTCACTTTTCATTGGCATCTGGTACAGACGGTAGCTTCTGTTTCTCAAGAGTTTTTTTTTTCCCCCTAAATCCAGGGATAGGTCAGGGTATTAGATTGAGAGCCTTGGGATCTTAATATCTTAAACCAGAGGTACTCACGAAGAAAACTTTCTCTACTGCACACTCAAAACAAAAGATAAAAAGAAGGGGAAAAGGTCTTGACAAGACAGAGAAATTACACTTAACTCAGAGACATCTTCTCAAAGGACACTGACCCCACAATGCTACTGAAATATTTTTGGAAGAAGCTACAAGTGTAGAAAGGGGTATTCTAGAATAAAGAGAGGGTCTGATTTCCAGCTTTTAAATTTTTTTTTTAGTGATGACAGCCTACATTTACCAGATCAGTAAGAATATTACAAATAAAAACAAACCTTAAGCACAGTTGGAAAAAGTCTTCAAAACCTGCTCGTCCCCCAGATTAATCCACTGGCTTTGGCTAAGATGCCACTACAACACCCTGATGAGTGGCAACACTGAAGGAATTAGCCAGCGGATCAGTCCCAGAGAAGTGGAGAGAGCCAAATTATACATTAATATCAAATAGTTAGAAATCAGAGAGGATAAAATAAATGTTGGATGCACATAGAATGTTAGAATCATTTTGCATTCTATAGATGAAGGAATTTAAGTTACTTTTAACACAGGGACCCCAAGTTGACCCATACATATTTACAAACTTTTGGAAAAATGCTAGTCATGAGGTCTCAGAACAGGGTAATTCTACTTTTTGGCACTGTGTATTGTCAATTTTAGCAAATGGGCTACAGGGTGGACAGGCAGGCAACTTGGCCAAGGAACCCCCTTTCCTACAACTCTCATTGGCTGGACAGAACCATAGTCTCAACTCCCACATGGGTAATCACTACCCAGAGCCCAGAGGAACAGAACCAGGAGCTGGGTGTGCTGATTTGCCATTGCTGAAATAGGGCTGCCGTGTCTAAAGGTGGGATGAGGGATCCCTCAGCAGGAAATAACTTGCCAAGTTTGCCACTAATTACTCGGTTCAACTTTCTCTCCTCTATTAGCATGAATAATTGAGTATCCAGAGTGATCCTTTAATTCTAAATGGATGAAAGACAAACATTACTATTAAAACAGAGGTCACAGCTATGCTATTTTCTGGAGAAATCTAAAAGACATTTCACATGACATACAACCTAACATTACCTAGCACCTGGTGGCCTACACTGTGGACTCTTGTTTCAGCATGCTACCTGCTCTTGTGCAGCAGAGCCTGGCTCCATTTCAGTCTTAGTGACACAATGTTCAGCAGCCAGAGGGCAGGGCGCAATCACAGGCAGCACACAGGAAATGGAGCATGGGTTACCAGAACCTACACTGTGTGAGAAACACCCAGTGCGACCTTGCAGACAATGAAGGAGGGCTGCTACTCCATGCTTCAAAGCCTTTGCTTTTCTTCATGGGGTAATATGGCCTCAAGGCCAGAAACACACAAAGCCATGAAGATTTGCTCTCAGTGGCTTAAATGAACCCTCCCATCACCTGCCTCTAGTTCATACTCCACCTTCTCCTATAATTGCTCCAAATAAGACGCTCTGCACCTGGCCACTGAATAGAACTTTAACAGAAACAAATAAAAATTGGCCACTATTTCTTGTGGATCCTTTTCATGCTTCAAGGTCTAGTACAAATGAGTAGCTCCTCTTTTCTGTGTTCATCTTTACCTAGTTTTCTTTCTGGATGGTTAAAATATCTTAGTTGTTTGAATACCTGCTTCACTACCTCCTACTTAAATCTTGCTCAGCTGAACTAGAGAAAGTTACTGAACATCGCTATGCCTTGGGATTCCTTGTCTGTAAGATCAGGCCAGCAGCATGCAGAGAGCACCACCGGCATTCCGGGGTGGTCTTCTGGGTGTTTAGGGCTCTTGCTCACCTTCCTCTGATGTGGGATATTCTTTATTTTCCTTTTAAAATTCAATTTCTGAAACTTGGTAGTTTAGGAAGATTCAAATACAAGTTTTAAAACTGAAGATGTTTTAACTGCTACAAGATGAAATTCGTGCTTTCTGGAAAAATGCTGAATACTTTATTATGTTTTTCTGAGACAGGGACCAGAACACTATGTTCCTTTTTAAAAATCCTGATTATAGGCAATGATATGGCATGAAAAAACAGCTAAGATAAGTGCTACTGGCGCTAGCTACTATAATCTCCAAGCCTTGCGGGCAGTATGGTTTCAAGCACTGATGTCCATATTTGTAGTCCTTGTTCCTCCATACGGAAGCCTTTCATAATTTCTAAATTCCTTAGCCTCTATGGAATCTGTGCTGGCTCACAGCGGGGTCAGAAGACAGTAATCTTACTGTGCAGTCTTCGCAGTCAGGAAAACATTTTTACTGCAAATACTTGCCTACAGATAAGGGAACTGATTCATCTTGTTTTGTAAATAAATACACCCAACACTCAGTGTTCCTTGGGATGAGAATAGAAAGTGGGATGAGAAACAGAGAAGGGAAGTAGGCAAGACACATAATATCCACATCTTACAACCAAAGCCCTGGGTTCACCCATACTTCAGTCAGCTTTCCTAAGAGCTCTGCTACTATCACTCAACAGGTGCCACTGGATTTTATGTTTTCTGATTATTTATTGAAAGAAAACTTTTGAGAAATAATTTGAATAAAATGAAGAAGCAGAAAGACACAATACAGGGGCTGGTGTCATGACGCAGCAGGTAAAGCTGCTGCCTACAATGCCACCCTCCCCTATGGGTGCCCATTTGTGTCCTGGCTACTCCACTTCTGATCCAGCTCCCTGCTAATGTGCCTGGGAAAAGCAGAAGGTGGCCCAATTGTTTGGTCCCCTGCTGTCTACATGGAAGACCAGGATGAAGATCCTGGCTTCTGGCTTTGGCTGGGCTCAGCCCTGGCTGTTGCAGTCACATGGGGAGTGAACGGGAGATCTCTGGCTCTCCTTCTCTCTCTGTAGTTCCGACTTTCAAATAAATAAATAAATCTTAAAAAATACAATAAAAAAGAACAAAAGACTTCATGGAGTACTTAAAAATTGTTTCAAAAGCTCTCATACATACATACCACATACCCTCCCCCAACTCCTGCTATTTCTCTTCTTTTGAAGAAGGAATTTAGATTGGGTCAAGAAAACTAACAGGAAAGATTCAGTCCAGCTTTTTATCTCTCTAATAATAATAGTTTATATATTTTAATTTTGTTTAACCTATATTTGGACAATGATTAAATCAAAATATTGTTCTATATGGACTACTAGTGTTCCAGGGCTTCATTGATTAGATTAAGTGACTAGGCATAGGGTTGAGCTGCTGGTTAGTGGCATTACTTAATCTAAACAGCTCACTGTTCACCACTGCCCCTGTCTGCAGTAATTAATATTTCCCTAATTACTAATGCCTCACTGTGCACCAGGTCATTCTTCCACCTCTGTAGGTAGATTATATTAGTATCTCCCATTGCACACAAACATTAGGACTTCTAGGTTAATATAGAGGCAACTGCCTGTCTGCAGGTAACGTCTTCTCCATGTGCGTCCCAATGGAGGAGGGCTGTGATCCTCCGTATGGCTCTGACTCTCTGGAATGGGATCTACAGTTGAATCCACACGTGTAGAACCCATGGATTTAGAGTTCTGACTACTATCATATAGTTTGCTAAAAGATGATAGAAACTGGATTCACAGCACTGTGCTAAGTAATGTGAAAGAAAGAAAACACACTTTCCTAACCCATGAGCTGATTATATAATTTACTGTAACAGTTCAACTGCAGGGGCTACTGTTGTGGAGCAGCGAGCTAAGCTACCACTGCCAAGCCAGCATCCCATACTGGAACACCAGTTCAAGCCCCAGTTGTTCATTTTTTATCCAGCTCCCTACTAATGTGCCTGGAAAGGCAGCCACATGAGAGAACAGGATAGAGTTCTGGGGTGGCTTCATCCTGCACCAACCCTGGCCATTCCAGCCATCTGGGGTGTGAACCAGTGGATAAAAACTCTCCCCTATGGCCGGCGCCGCGGCTCACTAGGCTAATCCCCCGCCCAGCGGCGCCGGCACACCGGGTTCTAGTCCTGGTTGGGGCGCCGGATTCTGTCCCGGTTGCCCCTCTTCCAGGCCAGCTCTCTGCTGTGGCCAGGGAGTGCAGTGGAGGACGGCCCAGGTGCTTGGGCCCTGCACCCCATGGGAGACCAGGAAAAGCACCTGGCTCCTGGCTCCTGCCATCGGAGCAGCGCGGTGCACCGGCGGCAGCGCGCCGGCCGCGGCGGCCATTGGAGGGTGAACCAACGGCAAAGGAAGACCTTTCTCTCTGTCTCTCTCTCTCACTGTCCACTCTGCCTGTCAAAAAAAAAAAAAAAAAAAAAACAAAAAAAAAAACAAAAAAACAAACAAAAAAAACTCTCCCCTACTCCTGCCTCTCAAATAAATAAATATTTTAAGAGAAAAAAATAGACTTCAAGATTAGGTGATTCACATACATCATTTCAATAGAGAACTGGGATTCAATTCTAGCTTTTAGATCTGTCAATAAGAAAATTAACTTGGCCAATAATAATTAGAACAGAATAACCCCAGAACTGTGTGAATCTGCTTCCTCTTGTCATTCACTGGGTCTGCCTATTAAGAATTCTTTTTTTTTTTAAAAACAAGTATATGCTAAATTGTCATTTAAAAAAAGATTTATTTACTTGAGAGTTATAGTTACAGATAGGGAGAGGGAGAGACAGAAAGCAATCTTCCATCTGCTGGTTCATTCCCTAAATGGCTGCAATGGCTGGAGCTGAGCCTATCTGAAGCCAGGAGTTCTTCCTGGTCTCCCATGTGGATGCAGGGGACCAAGCACTTGGCCCATACTCTACTGCTTTCACAGGCCATAGCAAAGAGCTGGATCAGAAGTGGAGCAACTAGGACTCGAATCAGCACCCATATGGGATGCTGGTGCCACAGGCGGGTGCTTAACCTACTATATCACAGCGTCGGCCCCTATTAAAAATTCTTAATGTCAAATAAAATTTTTAAAAATCTTAAAAAAAGGGGGGGGGGGCGGCGCCATGGTGCAGTAGGTTAATCCTATGCCTGCAGCGCCGGCATCCCATGTGGGTGGTAGTTCTAGTCCCGGTTGCTCCACTTCGGATCCAGCTCTCTGCTATGGCCTTGAAAAGCAGTAGAAGATGGCCCAAGTCCTTGGGCCCCTGAACCCACGTGGGAGACCAAGAGAAAGTGCCTGGCTCCTGGCTTCAGATCGGTGCAGCTCCGGCCGTTGCAGCCATTTGGGGAGTGAACCAATAGAGAGAAGACCTTTCTCTCTGTCTCTCCCTCTCACTGTAACTCTTTTCAAATAAAATAAATAAAATCTTAAAAAAAATTCTTAATGTCTTTGTCTACTGATTGTCCTAAGGAAAGAAACATGTTGTGATCTGTGTTTTTTATTTTTATTTATGTGAAAGGCAGAGAGACACAGAAAGGGACAAGGGAAGGACATTCTATCCCTTGATTCACTTCCAAAACAGCTGGGCAGGGCCAGGCAGAGGCAGGGATTCCATCTGTGTCTCCTATATACATAGTGCACATCAGGAGGAAGCTGGATCAGAAACAGAGATGGGACTTAACTCCAGGCACTCTGAAATAGGATACCTGCATCCAAGTGGCAGCTTAACCTGCTGCACTGTACCACCAGCCGCTACAATTGGTTTTTAATTGAATAATCAGCATGTGAATTTTTTATTTCCAACAAAATGAAAGGGTCTTTTTAACAACCACAAAAAGGACAAGCACTGTGGCACAGCAGGTAAAGCAGCCACCTGCAGTGTTGGCACCCCATACGAATGCAGGTTTGAGACCCGGCTGCTCTACTTCCAATCCAGCTCTCTGCTGTAGCCTGGAAAGCAGCAGAAGATGGTCCAAGTCCTTGGGCCCATGCACCCATGTGGGAGACCCAGGAGAAACTCCTGGCTCCTGGCTTCAGACCATCTGAAGAGTGAACCAGTGGACAGAAGATTCTCTCTTTCTCTCTCTCTTCCTCTCTGTAGGTCTGCCTTTCAAATAAATAAATAAATCTTAAAACACACACACACACACACACACACACAAATTGAAGGCAAAGGATTAAAAAAAAAACTGTCAGGACCAAGCAAAAAATAAATCCAAAGAGTTTTAATGAATTCCTTAGCTTCACCCCAAGACCCTGCAAAGAAATATTCTCCAGGAAGTTCTTACAATTTAACTTTTTTTAAAAAAAGATTTACGTATTTATTTGAAAGGCAGAGTTACAGAGAGGGAGATCCTCCATTCTCTGGTTCACTCTCCAAATGGCCATAACAGCCAGAGCTGGGTCCATTGGAAGTTAGGAGCCAGGAGCTTTTTCTGGGTCTAACCACAAGTGTGCAGAGGCCCAAGAACCTGGGCCATCCTCAGCTGCTCTCCCAGGTGCACCAGCAGGGAGCTGGATCAGAAGTGGAAGAGCTGGGACCTGAACCAGCTGGGATGCCAGCACTGCCAGCGGCAGCTTTACCTGCTATGCCACAGAGCTGGCCTCAAACTTACTTTAAAAATCAGATTTGAAATAACATTAAGCACTTATTAAATTCCTCTATTTCCAAAATGTTGGGATATCACATCCAAAGTATAAATCAATGAATGGAACTTTATGTGTGTGTGTGTGTGTGGTTTTTTTTTTTGACAGGCAGAGTTAGACAGTGAGAGAGAGAGAAACAGAGAGAAAGGTCCTCCTTTTCCATTGGTTCACCCTCCAAATGGCCACTTCGGCCAGCATGCTGCGCCGATCTGAAGCCAGGAGCCAGGTGCTTCCTCCTGGTCTCCCATGCGGGTGCAGGGCCCAAGGACTTAGGCCATCCTCCACTGCCTTCCCAGGCCACAGCAGAGAGCTGGACTGGAAGAGGAGCAACCAGAACAGAATCCGGTGCCCCAACCAGCACAGAATCCGACACCCCAACCGGGACTAGAACCCGGGGTGCCGGCGCCGCAGGTAGAGGATTAGCCTAGTGAGCTGTGGTGCTGGCTTACCATTATTCTTTCTTTCAAACACATTTAGTAATAAATATTGACAAATTCAAATGAACCAGTCACTTTAATGTAAGGACAAAATAATTTAATACAGTAGCCTAACAAATAATTTTTAATTAATCTGTAGCACTTGAGGGAAAACCAGAAATCCATCAACACAAATTTAAAAAGATACAGGCCGGCGCCGCGGCTCACTAGGCTAATCCTCCGCCTAGCGGCGCCGGCACACCGGGTTCTAGTCCCGGTCGGGGCGCCGGATTCTGTCCCGGTTGCCCCTCTTCCAGGCCAGCCCTCTGCTGTGGCCAGGGAGTGCAGTGGAGGATGGCCCAGGTGCTTGGGCCCTGCACCCCATGGGAGACCAGGAAAAGCACCTGGCTCCTGGCTCCTGCCATCGGATCAGCGCGGTGCGCCGGCCGCAGCGTGCCGACCGCGGCGGCCATTGGAGGGTGAACCAACGGCAAAGGAAGACCTTTCTCTCTGTCTCTCTCTCACTGTCCACTCTGCCTGTCAAAAAAAAAAAAAAAAAAATTAAAAAGATACAGTATCTCAATCTTAAAACTTAACCTCTTGACCCTATCCTTCCACACTCTCCCAGTGCATTCTGGCTCTGCCCCAGCAACAGACCCAAACTGCTTTTTGAGCTCTACCTTGCAGCTGAATCCAATAGATTCTGTCTCACTTGGGACTCTCTGGTCTGTAACACTTGCCAATCCCTTCCTCCTTGAAGCCCTGGCGTCCCTGAACAACCAAGACACCACTTACCTTTCTGGCCTTTTCTTTTCCCTACCTTTGTCAGCTGCTTTGCCTTCACTGGTCTCCTCAGAGCACTGCTCACAGCCTCCCCTACCCGCAGCGATCATGCTCCTTCCTTGGCCCCTTTGCCCAAATCACTGCCTCCAGCCTGGGTCTGTCTCTCCCACATCAGACACTTGTAATCCAGGGCGTCCTGATGACGTCTCCACTGAGCTGGCTCTCAGACCACCCTCCTAGACCAGAACCAGGCCCCCACCAATGTGCTCTCCTAGGCCCCGATTACCCGGGCTTCGGTGTCAGAACTAACTCCTCTTCCCTCACCCAAAACCTCCAAAGAGCTTGACTTCCAATTTATTTTTCCAGTACTACTGTTGTTTTCCCAATTAATGGCTCCCCGGCCACTGGAGGAAGCAACAGACTTCTACTCACTCCACAACCCAACCAGGAGCTCTCTAAAATGCAAATCTGCTCATCTCCCTCCTTTAAACCCTGTAGTGGTTCCTGCTTGCCCCAGGCTCCTTCCTTCCAGCAGCCTGATCTGTAGTCTAGACCCATCTCTCCGCCCCTCCCCCACTTCCATTGAGTCAAACCATTAGGACCCACAGCTGAAATTCTCTCACCCCAAGCAGCTGGGACTGCGTAAAAGTCCTAAGTCAAAACACTCGATTCATGTCTCTGTGCCATAAACACTTTAACTTAAAATATTTACCTCTTCATCTGTGTCTTTTTTTTCTTTTTAAAGATTTATTTATTTATTTGAAAGGCAGGGTTACAGAGAGGCAGAGGCAGAGGCAGAGAGGAGAGAGACAGAGACAGAGCAAGATCTTCCATCTGCTGGTTCATCCCCCAATTGGCCACAAAGGTCAGAGCTCCGCCAATCTGAAGCCTGGAGCCAGGAGCTTCTTCTAGGTCTCCCACATGGGTGGAGGGGCCCAAGCACTTGGGCCATCTTCTACTGCTTTCCCGGGCCACAGCAGAGAGCTGGATCGGAAGTGGAGCAGCCGGGTCTCGAACTAGCGCCATATGGGATGCCGGCACTGCAGGCACTGCTACACCACAGCACCAGCCCCCATCTGTGTCATTTTTTTTTTTTTTTTAAAGATTTATTTTACTTGAGAGTCAGAGTTACACACAGAGAGAAGGAGAGGCAGAGAGGATGGAGAGAGATGCCTTCCATCCACTGGTTCACTCTCCAAATGGCCGGAACAGTCGGAGCTGCATCGATCCGAAGCCAGGTGCCAGGAGCTTCTTCCAGGTCTCCCAAGCGGGTGCAGGGGCCCAAGAACTTGGGCCCTCTTCTACTGCTTTCCAAGGCCGTAGCAGAGAGCTGGATCAGAAATGGAGCAGCCGGGACTTGAACTGGCACTCAGATGGGATGCCGGCACTGCAGGCTGCTGCTTTACCCACTAGGCCACAGCGCCAGCCCCCGACTGTGTCTTAATGTAAGACCCAGGCTCCT